GGATACAACCTCGCGCTTCAGCTGCTTTGGGAGTGTGATGTCGGCTGATCAGCAGATACGCAGTGCGCTTCGTATCCGCGTGTCGAAGGCAGTGGCGGCATTCGGGAAGCTTGAGTACCGAGTGTGGAACAACCATCAGCTTACCATTGGCACGAAGTTGATGGTGTACAAATCCATGGTGTTGTCCGTTCTTCTATACGTCAGTGAAACGTGGACGATGTACCGTCGGGATGTGCGATATCTCGAGCGGTTCCATCAGCAGTGCTTGCGACGGATTTAACGCACCGGTTGGGGCGACAGATTTGCTGACACGGAAGTGTTGTGCCGAAGTGGAATGTATGCAGTGGACTGCATACTTTTACTGAGACCCCTGTTCTGGCTCGGTCATGTGAGCCGTATGGATTCAACGCGGATACCGAAACAACTATTATATGGTCAGCTGAGTATAGGGAAGCGGCATGTGGGGAAACCAAAGTTACGTTACCAGGACATGATCAAAGTGAGCCTCTCACGTTCTAATCTTGATTGCAGATCATGGGAATCGAAGGCGGTTGATCGGCGTGCATGGCGCGATCTGATCCCGAAGGTAGTTGCCTGCAGAGAACTTAGGCAGAACCGGCTCAGCTTTTGTATTTGCGGTAATTTCGATTTACTAACCGCGTGCTTGCATGCTAAGTCTCTTTATTTCAGGTGGTGGGTTTTCAATGTTGTTCTAATGCTTTTCTTTCTCAAATAAATATCCACCTGTACGCTCTTCTATAAACCTGCACAACTCGCTTAAGCCAATTGTAGTTAATTTCGATAACATTTTCGCGTTTGTGTCATTTCCGTAAGATATACTTTTTGACCTCATGAACTTATCTCGGACTCGTTTGTAAACAACTTATTTCATATGCTCTTTAATTTAAGATTTATGTCACCGTTTCCTTATGCATTACTCGATTTATTTTCTTTGTTAGCTTTCTCTCAAGTGATTGGCTGTTGCTTGATATCCCCGTTGTGACTGCGCTTGATGTGCATGTTGACAAGGTGCCTACCTGTCTATTACCTACTACCTCATCCATACTGGCTCTAGGAAACAGTTGGTCGTTGCTGGAGGGGACAGGGTGCACGGTCCTTGTGGCCGTGTTAGGATCAAAGATTGGTTCCATGCACTCAGTGTGGAGCGGACTACGGTCCAGCCACCGCCTTGTGTGCGCTTGATTCCCAAATACAGTGTGCTTGTGTTTGCCTGTGAAGGAGTGTGGGCCGGCTCCGTTGATGAAACGTGACTCCCATCCACATGCCTCCCGGTCTTATTCCTTCGGGTTTTCACTAGATATGCGGTGTGTGGATGGAGCTGTGGGTGGTGCAGCGCGAGCCACCCATGGTCCCTCTGTAAGCGCAGGCGTCGTGTGGCTGTCCACAGTGACAGGCAAATCCGAAACCGGATGCCGCCAACCACATATATATATATATATATATATATATATATATATCCATGAACTTCGGGGGCTGGCCGCTTTCATCTACTTAGGTTGTAACCCGCGTGACAATGAAAGATTTTTCTTTTTATATCCCAGTGAGCTTTCAAATTATGAAGCGCAGGTGACGTCCTCCATAAGTCAGGGGCTTAAGCTACGGGCTAGTTGGCACTTGCTTCTAGCGGTCATGAGTTTGATCCTCGGTAGGGGACTGAGGAAATGCGCGCCACTGACGAGCTCCAGTAGGGCGAATTGCGTCTGGTGCTTTTCCGGACTAGGCTGTGCTATAAAGCTTGTGAACTGCTGAGATGAATACATTAAGATTTATTGAGACAACTGACGTACTCCTTCCACATTCCTTGCACTGTGCTCTCAAAGCTATACTGGAGAGAGGGACTGTGCGATGATACGTTAATTCTTCTAGCTCTGTCGTCACTTTCCATGCGACGAATAAAATCAGATATATCGGTGACATGCTTGATGCCGTATGCTGAGAGTATTTCTGAGATAAGTTCAGACGAACTCAGCGCAAGTTACGAGGAGCTATACCTACTCCGTAACACTCTGTGAAACGCATACCAGAAAAGTTCGCCAGATTTGTACTATATCTCCTTTCTCCTTCTCCTTCAATTTTTTGATTGAAATGATCATAAATGTCTCCGTTTTTCCAAACTCTTTCGGAGGGGAAGTCCTGTCACATAACCGATTAACAAGTCTTGGTTATGCAGACAACATAGCTCTCCTTGCGTTTGACGCAGTTGTTAAGCGAACTCTACTGGATTGACTGGTGCGTCGCGCTGCACGCTTCGCATGTGCTGTGCACCTTCAAAGTGATAGGTACTGTTGCACGACTGGACCGATACACCATCGGTTCCAGCTGGCAGCGAACAGACACGAGTTGAATTGCTTCGGTTGGGTGCAAAACGCTAGGGTAAAGCCAGTGTTACTAACTGGATCAGCGTGCTGGTCAGTTTACAGTGATAACATTAAACAATTTGCTGTGTTTCATCTTCGGTGCTTTCGGGGTATTGCTCAGATCTGATGGGAACACCCAGCGAGCAATGCTGAAGCCCGTCAGTTGGCTTTTTTCAAGAAACCGTTTGGTGCGTTACTAGAGTGCTTACTGAAGCTAAACTGCTTACGTTGGTTACGCTATGTTCTTGACCAGTTTCCTCGGCGTGCACTGCACCAAATTGGTCGAAATCGCGAGCTGACCAGTCGATGAGGTGGCATGAGGGCGTGAAAAAATTGACAGTGAGACTTGATCATACTGGTGCATGCCATCTTCATGGATGGTGAATCGGGTTGGTCCACACTAGCGGTTGGTGACTGTCAAGCATAGCATAACTGCGCAGTCAGTTGTATTCATGCATTCGGTTTCTTGCGTCTCTGTCAAATTTTTATCCTGATTTGTTTTACACACTTTCTGATTGCGTTCGACCGCATTTCCTATCATTTTTATTGCTACTCTGCTGGCATGAGTCGTTTAGTTGAACTGAACCAGTGCTGTCAACCAGGGTGCTCTCCTGTGGTTTGTTTTACACCCTTCATGTTCAAAGTTCGGATGCACAAGTATCAGCATATTTCCGTTTCTATGACAACATCGGGAGTGTGAAATTGTTGATCACTTCACTTCTCATAGCAGTTGCATTACCAGTAACGGGTGTGCGTCTACTGAAATTAACTCATGCAGTGCAATTGCTGCCACTAGTTTTATAAATTCGAAATAGGTTTGACACAAAAAGCACGTTTTATTCTTGATGGTCGTATGTGCCGGAATATCTTTAGATCCCTACTGTTCTATCATGACCAAATCCATCCCCTCCAACATTTAACCGTCATCGATTGCGGAGCTTTGCTCATATCGGGTCTCCTCAGCAAATCTGTAGCGATGGGGGCACATGTGAACACTGAGCACTGAAGGTGATGAGTACAGTTGACTCAACCAACTTAATCCAATAGCGTAAATTTACGTCTTACTTATGCCCATTGGCGGTTTACAGAGCATGTCGTTTTGTCTACCGGATCTTCGATGCGATAAAATTTTGTTGGAACAATGATTAATCTTGCAGCAATTAACCAAGCTACCGGTCTCCAACTTGCGTTGCAGGTCCGTCTCACCTTATAGGATTTGGTACTCACGACCTGCTTGTCCTGGCAAGATTACTCGTGTGAAGTATTATGCATAGTTGTCTACGTGGTTTCTTGAGCCCTGCCCTAGATCCGCGTGAGCCACAAGAAGGCTATCCTGTCTATGCTGCTTCTTTCTACGGCACTCAGCTGTTTGTGACTTCGCAAGGGCCATGCGCTCTGACCCTGAATGCAGTGCGAGCAATTCCGGTTCATTATTATGATCCTTCTGCCCATTTTTATTGAAATGATAGTTTTCATTGATTTACGATATGATATCGATACGATTTGGTGTCGAAAAACTAGTCCAATGCACTGATTCATTAGCATTCTTATCGCTGAGGTTTATGGGTTAATTCTACCACATTTCTTCAACAAATTACTGGGAATACCAACAACGGATTGTCCCTGTGATTTATGGGTATCACTTTCAGTCTTCTTGTAATGTCCACCCAGTCGGTTCTAACCCCTCACGCACGGGATTGGTCACTCATCTTTTAAACTGGCATTAAAGCCTACTGGGGCCAAGAGGAACAGGCGTCTGCTATCCGACACGTGGCTCCATCAAGGCTCCCCTGTGCGTGCAAAAATGGCTGGCTAACTAACCACTTGTTATTTTCCCCATTCACTGACTTTTAACTCCGCCATCTATTGGTTCCGGCGTTTAGCTAGTAACATCTATGCCGCAGTTTCCAGTCCCTCCCTATGTGGTTCAGTATCATCGAGTAACTGCGCTGGACTCGCCCTTCCGTTGTTCCGGTTCCGCTGCTACTGGTCGTGATGACGAGGTATATGTCCTACCTTGTATCTTGATTCGGACTGTAGTTGAATGGGTTAGATGGACTTAACATTTGTCCCCTTGCGTTGTGGTAGGTCTGGCTGCGCTTTTTTCAAATGTTAATAGGATGCCTATTCACCCGACACTACTACCTCTAATACTGACTCCAGGAGGTTACTTGTCGTTCCAGGGGCAAGTAGTGCACCGTTTTCATGGCAGCGTTAGGATCAGTGAGCAATTTTACCGTCAAACGGCCTGTGGCTCCGATGCCGCACTGTTGAATTAGTGTAAATCGGCTACAAGTCATTCGTGGTTTCCATGCCTTCGGATTCCCATTGGCGACGGAGTGTGAATATGTTCGTATGCGTGTTGTGTGGGGAGTGCGGTGCAAAGCACTCGTGGTTCCACCCGCAAAAGTAGACTACCTGTGATTCCTTTCACAGTAAGAGTGACAAGCAATTCTTTCGACAGTTGCCGCCAAGCATGAAATGTACTTTTTCCGACAAAATCGGTCATCCAGTGGACTGTGCTCCTGCCCCAGTAACGTTACCTATGTTTCACCACAAGACTAGCCTCGTACGTCGTCGCCTCTTTTGCATCCACCCCTTTGTTCTTTTCTATTGTCTCAGACCTCTTTCGTCTTGGATCTCGATGGGTTGCGTATGTGGATGTTGTCGGCAATATACGCACAGTTTATGAAATGCAAAAGTGCTACATAATCGAAGGTTGGTAAATATGTTTGAGAAATATTGTTGAAAGCAGTTGATACCTTTTTGATTAACATTTGTGACACCATTTCCAGTTTTGTGCGCGTCACGCTGTCCTCTGTTGCTATCATGGGTGATCCACTCTAACAGTCCGTTGGCTAATCCGCCCTCGAGAAAATCGAATCAGTGGTACTCAAATTGGTTTTTGTCCAGGTCGTTGAGTTGCTTATGTGAAATTCTCTGGGTTTTTAAACGACAACGTACCATGATAATTCTCTTTGGCCCAACGACCATCTTTTTTCAGTTGGCCTTTCTTGTTCCTGGCGCATTACTTGTCATTAATGTATCCATTGAAGAAGTTTTAATTCCGAACTTTATGCAGTCGCAAAGAATCAAGGTAGCTCATAAACCAAATGCTATTCTAAGGGAATTGATTCCAAGATCGAAGCACAGTCAAACAAGGATTATCAGCACTGTTCGTGTGGTTTTCCAGCGACTCAATCATCTATGGAAACTGCGGGATATCAGCCTGTCAATGAAAGGTAGGGTTTAAAACGCTGCGATAAGGCCAGTGTTACTGTATAGGTCAGAGACCTGACCAGTTCGCGACGAAGACATTAAACGCTTAGTCCTGTTTGACCACCGGTGCTTGCGGAGTATTGCACACGTTTGGTGTAAACACCGAGAGAACAATGCTGTAGTCCGCTAGTTGCATTTTAGCGAGAAGCTTTCTGGTGCTTCCCTTGAGTGTTTGCTGAATCTTAATCGCTTACGTTGCGTAGGCCATGTCCTATGTATGCTCGTTGACTGGCTTCCTCGGCATGCATTACATCCAGTGGCTGCACCAAGTTAGGTGAAATCGCGAAGTGGCCAGTCCATAACGTGGCATAGTGGCATGAAGAAATTGACTGAGCGGTTGGGTCAGGCTGATACATGTCGTCCAAGAGAATGGAGGCCTCGGGGTGGTTCCCACCAATGGTTGGAGACCATATCGGATATGGCGTGGTTACGAATTCAGTGGCATTCCTGCATTCGGTTCCTTGCATCCACTTGTTAGTTTTCGTTCTATTCCGTATTGGTTCAACGCATTTCCATGTTGCTTCCATTTTCTTTACATCTTATTCGCTTTTACCTCCTATCTTGCCCTTGTTATTTATTGTTGTTCTTGCGAAGTGAGTCATGGCTACTGGATCCACCGCACTTCGGCGCTTGGATCATAGTTGTTCAAGTGAATAAAAATGAACCAGCCAATCTGAAACGTATGGGACTAATACTAGGCCGGACAGGCGTGATCCAAATTCATTAGTTTTTCCACACAAAGAACTTGAACGTCAGCCTTTTGTCCTAGAAAACAGAATTCTGACACATGTGAGTACAAGACAAACAGGACTTCTTGGAGGTATGGCATTTCACAACAAATTCAATCAATCGACACGTTGCATTTGATGCGAAATACGCTACGCTATGAGCAAAGAATGCTCGACACATTCGAATAACACTAAGGGAAGAACATACCAGACGAACAGGTCAGGTCATGGTCTCAACTACAGAGGCGAACCGCCAACGATCAGGCGGCATGAATCGACGGATGCCTAGTCAGAATACGGAGTAACCAAATAGCCAATGACGAGCTACTACAATAACATACGTGCAATACTACCGAATTCACAACTGTTCATGTATTGCTCCGCTCCGATACACATCAGCGCAGTGATGACACCACGATTGATGACGAAACGTCTACAACAGAATTGTCAAGCTACTAATAAGAGTCCATATTGTGGTTCCAAAAGACGGTTGCGGGGAACCTCTGTTTCCTACACCAAATGCTTCTCTGTTGTCTTAGCTATAGAACATGACATCGAAGATTAGCTAACTTAGTGAAACCTAAGGTGCAGCACGCTATGTGACCGCGCGGTGGAGACCATCCGAGGCATCAAGCAAGTAGCGTTGCTCGATTCAGCCAGTCTAGTTCAACGCACATTTCAACATTCTCCGCGTGGCTTCTAGTGGCAAGGCGTTCGTTCATATTGGTATGCAAGTTCTGTGCTCTGTGTTGCACAAGCTGAAGCTGTCGCGTATGGCGAGATAGGTTAGCTTTTAAAGTTTACACATGCGGCAGTCACGCTAGACTGCGAACACATCGATGGTTCTTAGCCGAACGACGCAAAGACAACAGAACACGGCTAGCTGGCCGCTTGCAAATGTGTATTCTGACCAGAAAGGGTGCAGAGCATCGATCAAGTAACTGCAGCCAACCATTCTTGAGTGAGTAATCGATAGACAGACAGGCGCACACGGTCGACGCTGGTGTGATCGCTGATTGGAGATGGTAACTCATACGCCACATTCCTCCTCCCTTTATTTGGCACTCTCCCAGACAGCCTGGTAACGATCAACTGGATGACGGACTCTAGTTAAACAGTGTATTGGTTGAGCTTCTAGCAGGTTTGTGGTCTGTGTGGCCTCTTCGACCACTTGCTCGGTTGACGGACTTGACACTATGTCGTCTGGCCCGGTTAAAACGAAACGACGGCGAACTTGATCCATAAGACGGGTAACCACCCTGTTGTCCGGTAGTGCAACCTCCGCTCTCTGTCCTTCATTTCCGCGTAACTCTGCAGGTTGCCAGGCTGGTTCGTGGGACAGTGTGACGTGAACTGGATCGTCCTCACGAGTTCTCGATCTGATGTTTTCGATTGTTCCTGTCTTTTCATTGCTCTTCACACCTCTCGACGCGTAATCTCTGGTCGGAAAAGACTACGCCTAGCCGCGTCCTAAGTTTTCGGCCGAACCCTAATTTGCCTGGACTCTTGTCTATCGTTTCACTTGGGGTGGAGCGGTAAGCGAATAGAAAATTTATCCAACTTCCTTCTGAGTGCAGCGGGCGATTGTTTCTGTAACCCGTTTTTTACTGTCTGGTTTGCTGTTTCCGCTAGTCTATTTGAGGCCGGGTGGTAAGAGGCGGTCTTCACTTGTCTGATGCCGTTATTTCGAAGGAACTCATGGAACTGTAGTCTAGTGAATACAGAGTCGTTGTCTGTCTCTAGTGTTTACGGAATACCGAATGTGTAGAAAACAGTTGTCTCGGAAGTGCCGTATCTCAGCGGAAATTCCTCAATCACCTTGGAATAGGCATCGACTATGAGAAGAAACATCTTTCTATCAAGCGGACCAACGTATGCTGCATGTATACGCTCCCATGGCTTGTCAGGCCATTTGACTAACGTAAGGTTGACTAACCTAACCGAGACCCCCGTATCGATTTCAAGGTGCACATGTTGACCTTCAGTCTCAAGTTCTACAGTGTATAGAGGTATACTGCGCACATGTGACTTGGTAGTATGTGAAATCAAGTAAAATATGGGCTCATCGGAATTCTCTATTGTCCGTACAGTATTTGGTGGAGGGTAAAATACAGGATATGAATGTACTGTTGGGCGGAAAACACGCACAACATGTCCGACCTTGCCGCATTTGTGGCAATTGGATTGTTTGTCTACAATCAGTTACTCTTTCATGTATTTCGCCACACCTCTGGCACATGAACGGGTGTTTGTTGTTCGGGGACAGTCTAGGTTTGACCGGGTGGATTGCATCTGAAGGATGATCATGTTGCTAGTGAATTAATTGTTGAATCACATTTTCTCTTTGCCTCACTAATGTGCATACGGCTTCCCAAGTAAGCTTGCTCCCAGCTTCCTAAAGAAGAGGTTCTCGGGCACTGTTGTCGCGAATGCCAGTTAGGAGACACTGGATAGTCATAACCTCTTCAGATTTCGTAGATGGAATCTCATAACAGCAGTTAGGCAGGGACTAATGTATGCAGGTTATAAATTCGTTAACAACTTTTTCGTCTCCCTACCGTAGTTGGGAAAAATTTAGTCCTACGGTAAACACGTTGTTGTAAGCCCCGATGACCATCTAGAGATTCCAGATAATGTGACACGGAAGTGCTTTCATACAACCGTAGCGCATCAAAATGCCTCTGACCATGCGCACTTAAATGTTGTCTCAGCAGCAGATTGTTGTTCAGTAATAGTGATGTGAGGATTTGTAATTCTGAAGAGTTCAAAGTAGTCACAGGATGTTCTCTTCCATCGAGTCCAAACTGCAAGTGGAGGCCGTCTTCCTCGGCCTGGGCAACCGGGAAGTACAATGCCCAAACAATCTATGGGCCAATGTTTCAACGACTTCCTGATCTATCTCTCTCCGCTCTTTGCCAATGCTTACCTCGGCCGAACTGCTGACGGTCGAACATTCCATATCGCACTATACCGCACCACAGTTTGGTTACTTTATTCTACCTTTGTTCAGTTCCCCCATCCTTGATAATTCCACTCCGTTTCCATGTTCACAACATCGTGCCGCCTTGGGCGAGTGTTCTCGCCACACGGACCAAAAATTTAGGTCCGAACGTGTGCCGCCAAGTAGTACTGGCAAACCTCTTCTAGCGGCACGTTTCTAATTCAAACTGACAACTTTGAACTTCCGCACCTTGATGCAGATCGGGTCACAGGCAGCCCTTGCTCGCACGCTTAAGACTACTGCCATTGATGTCTGCTGCCTCACTGAAACCAGATTACAGGACCCTAGCACGACGCTACGATTGTTTTCGACGTCTGCGAGCTTCACTGGCATTTTCACCTTGCGCTTATCTGGAGGCGAAACCGCTAAAGCCGCTGGTGTTGCCGGCGTGGGGATTACGTCAAGCACACGTGCTGAGGCCGCGCTACTTGACTATATCCCTGTCAACAGTCGACTCTGCGCTATCCGACTTGAGACCTCAGTGCGACTTTCCAGCCGTGGAGCCAGCAGACGTTGCTTGTTCGTTGTAGCAGCATACGCTCCCACAGACTGCAGCCCGGAGTCAGTTAAAGACGAGTTCTACTGTCAACTGTCCGACCTCCGAAACAAGCGCCGTACAGACATTGTGGTGCTTGCAGTGGACTTAAACGTGCATGTCGGTAGACTTGCGTTTGAACAGCGTGAACTCGATGGTCAACATAGCATTGGCA